GCTGGTGGCCATCTTGTTTAAACAATCAGTTCCATGGACCTGTCTTCACATTTGGAATATGATTGTCCCTTGGTAGTCATGTATCTTGTGCCTGTAATATAGAGAAAACTATGTCATTGACAATGACTTGTTAAATATCTTTTATTGCAGAGTGAAGTAGTGAAGGCAGATGAAATTGAAAAAGATACATTTAGTCGTACAATAAACGGGGAAAAGGTCAGTGATAAACAACCTGAGATGTTTACTGGTGGTGTATTAAGAGACTATCAAATAGCAGGAATGGAATGGTTGAAGGTATGGTAATCCTTTTCACTTGGTATCTGTGACAGTAATATGTTGACAAGATTATTTGTTACTTTGTAACAAGATTTTAAATTCTTAAATGCAGTTAACTTTTTTTAAAACACAGGATTGAAAATTTATTTTCTTAGTGATATAAAATGGCAATGGGAAACAATTGACAGATTAATTTAACGACAAAAACAAAAGTATTCCATGGTGCAATCACAGGGATTTGGGAGCCCCAGGTTTAAGATACTTTTGTCACAACTCTGTCGATGTCTGTGTGTGTCCCATTGAGCAGAAATTTTCACATAACCCAATTTTAGAGGGCTGATACATAGTCAAACATAATACAAAAATTGAACAAAACAAAAGCAAATTTTTCCTTTCTGAAGATACGGTAACAATAATGAAAACTGAAGAATACACATGTACAGATGTGACATGTATTTTTTTTCTTCTGCTAAGTTTGAAAAATTAGAATGATTTTTGATTTATTAAAGATCGTTTCACATGTCTGTAGGTGCTTTTTGAGAATGGTGTGAATGGTATCTTAGCTGATGAAATGGGACTTGGTAAAACAGTGCAATGTATAGCACTGTTTGCTCATCTGGTAAATATGGGCGTTACTGGACCTTTCTTAGTATGTGCCCCCCTGTCTACACTGCCTAACTGGGTCTCAGAATTCCAACGTTTCACTCCAAAGGTATGTACACGAACACATTACATATTCTCTGTTATTAACCAGAAGGCTTTATTATTATAATAAAGTTAAAAAAATACTGTGAATACTGCTTTTAGGCCAAAAAAATTGTTTTGTTGCCCTCAGCAGCTGACCGAAAAATATGAAATATTGGGTCGCAGTTTTTTTTTGTTTTGTTTTTTTAATAGGCCCAAATATTAAAAACTCGCCATTTTTAAGCCGTAAAAAAGTGTTTCCTCTTAAAATTAAGGATCCCGGATCGTTGTTTGATCCCCAGAGTCCCCGTAAGTGGCAACTTTGAACTTTGAGTTGATCTGTATTTCTCTGACATATTCCGAATACTATGAAGTTCATATACCTTGGCTATTTACGATACTCTTAGTTTTCACGAATTAAAAAAAACACAAAAAAAACGACCGACCGACCCAATTTTTCGACTTGAGGGCAACATAAGTTGTTTTTTTGGCCTTATATTATATATAAACTTTCAGAGTATAGGTATTTATTGTCATTGCTGTATGTGTGGATACTGTTTCTTATGTGTATTTTGAGAGCAAAATAGCCTCTGGGCTATTGCCTATTGGCTTGAACTGGCTAGATAAAATGTTGTCGGAAAAGACACAAAACTAGTACCCTGCAAATCTAATTTCAGGCATTTTGATGGTCAATCCCAATCCTCATGTTGGGAGTGACATTAAAATGAACTTAATTTTGTACTTTTGCAAAACTCAGTTTTGAGTAACTTGACCCATAAATCTAATATAAAAGTTCGAAAGTTTTATTTTTCAAAACCCAACACGTTGCCGCTTTATCGACTGTTATTTTTTGTCTTCACTACTACAATTGATTTCATAATACAAATTATTTTTTGTCATGTAGTCACATTGTGAATTTATGATATACATTGTAGCTTCTAAGATACATTCTCCCTTTTGACTGCTACCATTTTCAGCTTAACAACACAAATTTACTAGCTACTAATTTCTCCTACACAGGTTCCTATAGTACTTTACCATGGTTCAATAACGGAGAGAGAATCTCTTCGTCGTTCCATCCGCCGTAAACATGGTAATAAGCAAAGCCATCCAGTTGTTATAACTTCATATGAAATAGTGATGAGAGATAGAAAATACCTTCAAGGACATGAATGGAAGTATATTATCGTGGATGAAGGACATCGTATTAAAAATCTTAACTGTGTCCTTATACGGTACGTTGGATGTAGGTGAAATTGGTAATACAGATGAGTGACACATCAAGATGATCACATATACCGTAGTTGTCCAAGTATAAACCCCTCCGGGAAAACGGCAAATTGACAAAAAAATGGGGAGGGGTGCTTATAAACAGATAAAAGTTGAAACTTCTCCTGAGTGATAATTTATGCTAATTTATTCATAAACAAATCGTAGTGTGTACACAAGAGTCTTCATCGACTTGTGCAATTAACTTGGGTGCGTTTACTAAGTGGAACAGCATTTGAATAATGGTCTGTATGTTTTGGGGTAACGAAAGTATATTCTAAACGAACTTTCAAACAAAAACTAACACAACTGCATTGCGTAGCAGCAAATGATCATGGTTGCACAATCCGATCATGCTGTGTTTCACATTGTTGATTATTACTCAGTAGGGATTATATAATAACGTACAAAAAAATTAATTGTTTAATTGTTATGAAATGCAAATAAAATTCAACTTAGGTTTCATCGTGAGCAAATGATTCCGATCGCATATAAACACTCGAAGCTATCGGGTATCCGGATAAATGACTTGTTGTAAAATGGGCTTATACTCGAGCAGGGGTTTATACTCAGACGGTATTTCATGTAGGCTGAATAATGTATTTACTCATGTGGTTGCATAAATGACAGGTGTCTGTATGCTCAAAACTGCTCTTTATCTCTTCATACCCAGATTACATTTAATTTATGCAGTTCTGATAGTTGATAAGAGCTTTAACCCCCCCCCCCCCCCCCAGTCATTGAATCTAAATCAGTGTTGATATGTCCATGCTACGTGTAAACTTGGATTTTAATTTGTCAATTGTTTGTCTTGCAGGGAGCTGAAGCAATATAAGTCTGCTAATCGCATACTTCTTACTGGTACACCATTACAGAACAACTTATCTGAACTCTGGTCAATGTTGAATTTCTTGCTACCTGATGTTTTCAATGACTTGGCAAGTTTTGAATCTTGGTTTGATTTACAGTCACTAAGTGAAAAAGGTGGTGATGAAGCCCTTGTAGCCAGGGAACAAGAGAAAAACATATTGTCTATGCTGCACCAGGTTGGTCAATTTTCTAGTTAGTATCCAGGACTTGATTCAAAGCGAGTCAGAATGGCTGTGACATGTAGTGATCTCAATGGACACATACACCGAAGTGGTGGCACTCTGCGTGTATGCACACTGTAGAATAATGTATTTGATGCTATATTTCAATACTTTTTTAGCAACTTGTAAATTCACATCTGTGTTCATCCATCTCTTCGACATGCCAAGGTTGATCATGTCCCACATGGATTCATAGTGTGATTCGATTGAAGTCTTTTTGGTACTTAAACCTATACTGAAAACAAGCGTTTCTGCCATTCTCGAACCAAATCACTATCATGCAATGACAAATTCCTTGGAGACTTGGTACATATTTTGAACATCACAAGACCTTGATGCATGCCTTTTTGTTTTTACAGAATGAATCTAAAATAACCAATTAATGGGCATTTTAACTTTTAACTTATTTGATTCATGATTCAATTCAATATGACTTAATGATGATTTTGTAGTGTCATTCACTCAATGCAGCATTCTATTTATCCCTCTATACTATGTGTATACAAATATGTGTTTGTTTCCTGTGCCAGATTTTGTCACCTTTCTTGTTGCGGCGCCTGAAAACTGATGTTGCATTAAGTATACCTCCAAAAAAGGAAGTGCTTGTGTATGCTCCATTGACACCTTTACAACATGAATATTATGAAGCCACAGTTGATAAGACAATATTAAAAAAGGTGGAAGACAAAAAGGTAACTTGCAATTTTCAGTAACTAACTCTGCATTGTCAAATCAATAGTAACTTCTAAGCTGTAAGACTTACTTTCCATGCTTAATATGGATAGGTTCTCAGAGATTATTTCCTGATTTTTAGCTGTCATCAATAAAGACAGTGTTGTTTATATACAAATGTAGGTGAGAGTTTGTCAGCTGAAAATTATCAGCCCAGTTTCTTTGATGCATTATATATAGGTACCTTACAGATCTTCAATTCTATATTTATATTTCTCTACTCAATTCTGGTAAAATATGATATTGTCTCATTGACAGCTTGTTTGCTGCTTAGTGTACAGGAAACCTTTTGTGGATCTCTGAGATTTGTAGCCAGATAACATTTTTAATTGCCATGACAGCAACCATATAAATTACTACATGTATGGTTGTAATATGACAAGTAGCTAATGTTCATTGTACATAACATTATCAACTTTGTTTTGAGAAAAACGCAATCTAAAGACAGCAGGTTGCTTGTTAAATATATCATTACTGTACACAATGTTTATGTTGAGTGTGTAGAATGTGAGATGAACTTGTATTATAACCAGAGCTCAAAAATTCACAAAGATGTAGATGTCCATTTGAATAAAATTGTTGAATAGTTCCTTTATAGGTTAATATTCTAAAGCATTTTTTCACAAATGGGTGACATACGAAAATCAAAGTTGAAGCACTGTATATCTAAACATATTGTATTAATCAGATTTGTTTATCAGTGAATGCATCTTCATTTGTTGTCATTAACAGGAAACTCCAGTTATACAGAAATTGTGTGAATCCGGGAGACCAAAGCGTCGTTGTAGTCAAAAAATAAATTATGAAACTGTTTTTGAAGAAGAAAAACCAAATGATGACGTTGAGACATGGTTTGAAAAATTTGTAAAGAAAGAAGATGTTGTGTAAGTTTACATTACATTTGTTTGGTAAAAATTGATTTGGTAGATGCATGTCAATTTTGATTTGATCTAATATTACCAGCTGTCTGCTATTTTCGATATTATTCAGTGTTATATTTTGAATAGACGGCAATATACATGGTAATGTAATTTGTAGAAACTTGTTTTATTTATTTATAACTTGTTATTACAATAATACAATACAATATTATTTGCTTCACCAGGCATGAGAAAATCAGACAACAGACTTCAGAGGTTAATATTAAACTGCAGAATATCATGATGCTACTAAGAAAGTGTTGCAATCATCCATATTTATTGTCTTATCCTATTAATGAAAGGAATGAGTACATAATAGATGAGCAATTAGTACAAAAAAGTGGTAAATGTTTAATATTGGATAGACTACTACCAGCATTGAAAGAAAGGGGGCATAAGGTAAGGATTTATTGATGATTACAGACAAATATGAGAAAACATGTGTACAGGTTTATATTAGGTTTGTAGTTCAGGTCAAAGTTCATCTCCCCAATGGTTTTATTAGTCCCTGTTCGGACGAAGTTCGAAAACGACATGCTTTGTCTGTTTTCATTTAAATTTGGTACATAGATTATACATGTTAGGATACATGTCCTCCGATCGTCTGTCCGAAGTCATATTTCAGAATCTATTGGACCGATTCTGTTCATTCTTTGCATGTGCCTAGTACTTTTTGTGGACATATGCACATGCAGTGGTTTAGCGATTTGATTCAAAATGGCCAACTGGCATCCATCTTGTTTTTTGACATTTTTTTATTTTGGACATGCTTTGTCAATTTTCATTCAAACTGGGTACATACATTGTATATTATACATGTCAGGATACATGTCCATGGCAATTTCTTTCGCAATTGGATCAAAGATGGCCAACTGGCAGGCATCTTGTGTGTTTTTTTAAATGTGGTATCTTGGACATGCTTTGTCAGTTTTCATTCAAATTTGGCACATACTTTATACACGTTAGGATACGTGTCCATGACAATTTGTTTCAAAATCGGATTAAGGATGGTCGATTGACAGCCATCTGACTTTTTGGCCTTACTACTATATTTCCACAATTTATGTACCATTTTCATTCGTATTTGGCACATACATCATACATGTCATTTTGTTTCATAATCAGATCAAAGATGGCTGAATAATGGCTGTTTTTATTTTTGGCCATATTACTATATCTCTGTCACCCATGTATCATTTTCATTGATATTTAGCATGTCATAAATGGATACATGTACATGTCAATTCAATTTGCAATTTGATCAAATATGGCCGACTGGCGGCCATCTTGTTTGTTTAAAATGTGATAATTTGCACATGCTTTCCCTTGTGATCTATGTTTTTCTTTGCTATGTCTTAGACCGAAGGGGTCGTCACGCAACACGTGTTCGAATTTGATGTAAATAAACAATATGTTGTATACGCCACTTTGGACTCGAGTTTCAAGGACACGCTTGCAACAATCCCTCCACTTTACTATGACAATCACAAGGAGAACTTTCAAAAATTTAACGGGGACTGTGTCATTTTCAATGACTTGTTTCTAGGCAGTGATTTTACTAATATTTTCATGTTGCTAGTCATGATGACAGGAATTGACAAATATTCTATAAATCTACATCTCAAATGGGATTCCTTGTTCTAAAGGGAATATCCAAGAAACAGATTTTGGGATTAGCCCAAATATTTATGCCTGATCTAAGGAACAAAAACTACCATTTGCGATGCAAATAATTAAAACTGGATTAAATTTTGATTTGCCTTGTGAAGACTATGCAATAATGTCTTTGTGATTTGAAATCTATATGGGTCATAAACAGTTATAACCCAACATAAACCAGACTGCTTTGTTTTGCAGGTGTTGCTGTTTTCACAGATGACAAAGATGTTGGATATTCTTGGCGATTACTGCTTTCTTAGAAAATTCAAAACTTGTAGACTGGATGGGACAATGTCGTATGTGGATAGACAAGAACAGGTAAATCCATGTTCTATATGATAACATTTCAAACCGATCTATCCTTAAAAGTATTATCTTTTAATACTCAATAGAAGCCCAATAAATAATACACGTATACTATGACTCAAGCATCTATTCATACAGTAAAACGTCGATTATTCGAAATGTTCGGTTATTCAAACCTTCTGTGTGTACCCCAAAGTTTGTATGCAGGTCTGGCTTTGTTCCGTATAATACAAAAGTGAACTGTGAACAATAAATATTACAGTCGTAGTGTGTGATTTCCTGGTGCAACACTTTCAATAAAACTATTATCAACATGTAATCAGACGTCTTTCACGTGTATGTTCATTGTTTACAGTGTCTGGGCAAACAATGAAAGGATTTACAGTATCCAATAATTTCCTAAATTTAGACAAGCCTATTACGCCACACCAGTGTTCCACTGTAAATAAAAAGTGTTCTTAAAACACAAACTTCATCAAATGTCTTCTCCACTGCAGTTCAGATACGTTTCCCGAGAAAACTGTACGGGGTTCCACTGCCGTCAAAGAAACGCGGCCATGCGCCGATCCCATGTTTTTTCCGATTTTTAATGTCCATTAATCAGAAGTCACATCCTTTTCGGAATAAAAAAGAAGAAAATAACTTCTGGGATGTCTTGCCACAGAAGCGACACCATTTTAATAGTGCAATGAAAAAGAAGAGTTACGAAACGACCCAACTTTGGTGTGCCTCTTTGATGGTTTATCAGCAGACAACGGCAACCAATGACCACAGTCGGCGGGCCAATTGATGATTCACAGCGTCAAAGTGTTTATGTCTGGTGATCACATTGGCCAAGCTATGTTTTACAACAGTTTATTCTGTCAATCATTCTAGATGTTAAATACTTTGCTGAATCCATTAAAATCAGGACTTCATGCGACAGTTTATCATTCGAGAATCCATGCACAATCTGGTAACATCGAGTCGATCCTTACACAGCGAATATGAAGCAATCTTTCACTTGTTTACTTTATCTGCGACTTTTATCTACTGTTGGCATGGCTACCCCAGTGAAACGCAAACTCATTGTGCTAGATTTGGACATGAAGCTGTCAATTATAAATAGACTAGAACGTGGCGAAACTGCAAGCAAACTATCTACCGAGTATGGTGTTGGTAAATCGACAATATCCGATATCAAGAAGGCAAAACAAAAGCTGCTGGTTTTTTCCAGTAAAATCGATTCAAGTGTAGGACTGAAAAGAAAGATAATGCAAATAGCTAATGACGACCGTTTAGAGAAGTCAGTCTTCACTTGGTTTTCCCAAGAAAGAAGCAAAGGAACGCCACTTTCCGGGCAAATTATCACGAAGAAGGCGAAATGGTTTGACAGACAATTGAATGGCGAACAATCTGATTTTAATGGCAGCACTGGTTGGCTGAAAAACTTTCAACAGTGACATGGTATTCGACAGATTTCCGTTCAAGGTGAAAAACTGTCTTCTAACCAAGCTGAAGTAGAGCCATTTATACAAAAGTTTCAGGATGTCATCAGTAATGAAAACTACACAACCGTACAAATCTATAACGCAGATTAGTCCGTACTTTATTGGAAACTGCTTCCAAGAAAAACTCTTGCAGCGGCTACGGAGAAATCAGCACCAGGTTACAAAGTTAGTAAAGGTCGTGTCACGATAATGGGATGTGCTAATGTCGCTGGAACACATCGACTACCGCCAGTGGTAATCGGCAAATCACGAACCCTCGATGTTTTAAACATGTTAATATAGAAAAATTGCCTGTTATCTCAACCAAAGCAGTGCATGGATGAGTGGTGAACTGTTTTCAAGGTGGTTTCATGGTGATTTCGTTCCAACTGTAAAACACTACAATGTATCTACGACAGAAACAACAACCGGGAAAAAGCTCTTCTCCTCATTGACAATGCGCCGTCACATCCCAGTTTAGATGAACTACAAAGTCGGGATGGCATGATTAAGTGTATGTTTCTGCCACCAAATACGATACCATTGTTACAACCAATGGATCAAGGCGTGTTGAATGCCACAAAACGCCGTTATAAGGGGAAAATGTTACGAAAATTGATGATGGACAATACAGAAGATGTCCCCTATCCTTGAATGCGTGAAAACCGTGACTCTCAAAGACACCTGCTATATGATAGCACGGTCCTGGAATAAAATGCATGGCATAAATTGAAGCTAAATGTCACTGACGAAAGTGCTATTGTTGAAAGTGACACAGAACCTGGCACGGACTTTGACACCGACAGATTTCCACCAGCAGACTGCGAAGAGATTGAACAGTGGCTGAACACTGATGAAGCTGATCCTGGGTTTCAGATGTTGGCAGATGAGGAAATTGTAAACTGTACTAAAACCTCAATAACAGAAATTAGTGATGACGACGACAAAGAAAACGGGCCTTGTGTACCAGTTCCACTGTCAAACAGAAATCTATTCATTCCTTTTTTAAAAAACTCTGAACTGTTTTTGTGTTAATACACAGATTAGATGCTGTACTACAGATAAGACAACATTAATGTTTATTGCTTTATTATCGCTTTTTAATTATTATCGCTACATTTTACAGACACTTTAAAACATTTAACATTCCTGAGTGCAACATTTTTATTACAATGTAATACTTGCAAAATTGCAACTGATTAAATAAAAATGACATACTCTACATGTGCTATTGTTTGATTTCATTACAGTCATGTGTACGTTAGAATTTGTGTGTACGTGAGCCTGTAAATTTGACCCTGCCCACACAAGATCGCATATCCAAACTTTTTGCATAACCAAACAAAAAACATATCCCCCTAACTGTACGGATAATCAACGTTCTACTGTATTCAACATAAAAATATTTATAAAGAGTATCATTTAGGTAAAGATGCAGTTTATTTGGCTTGCTTTTTAATTGAGTAATTAGACAATGAAGATGGTATTATATATCCAACATGTTATATATTTTCTGAAAGCTTATTATACAAACTTTGTAAAACTTGTCTTTATTTTAAATATCCAGAATGCGTTTTTGATTTTGGGTCAAAATATGCTTTTTTGGACAAAGTGGTTTAAAAAA